GGAAATCTCTCTCAACTAATCGATCTTGATAGTTGGGAGAGATTTTCTCGAGCAATCGTGGAAATCTTATCTTCTTTGACACTCTGCATCTTTAACGTGCATTGTACATGAACTCTATTTATAGATATTTCCTCGAGCAGTTATAGAAATCTTATCTTCTATCGATACACAACCTCAATAATGAGTTAACACAAAGCTTTCTTCTTCCCAATCTTTCCCATCCCAATCTTTCCCATACCAAAATAACATCAAAGACGCAATCAAAGCAACTATCATAATCCAGTAGTGGCATAACTATATTCTTTCTAAAATCCAACAAGACACTTGAAAGTTTTGAGTCAAGTCAACCACATAGGCAATGCTTGTGAAAACGTAACATGAAAAACCCAATTGAAATGGTTCTTTCACTTTCAAAGAAACGAAAGCAAATCTTTCAGGAAACAACAGACGAATGGTAACACTTTAAGAAAATACCGAGTATCAGCCAAAAGTAATTTTTTTTAACCATTTTATCTTTGATGGATTTTCTCCAATTCCAAACAAAGTTTCACACTACTGCGATCATGTCTGATAATATTAATCAGAGCCTGGACAGCATCACTCATGCAATTCATAAGTGAACTATAATCATGAAGAAAACATCTCCAATTGCATTCCCTGGTTTGTGAATACAAAAGTATACTTTATAGTGAAATGTGAAAAGAGGCACACCTTATCATGAGCTTGACTGCCACTGACAAGGCAATACCTCAGGTAATCATCAAGCCGCCGGTCGTTCTTCTCGTCAATGTACCCCTCCGACGAGAATCCTCTGATTTGCCCTGCGAACTTCGTGGGGAACTTGGAAGCGTCGAACCGGTCAATGTTCCCGATCCCGCTCTCCCCTTCCTGCAGCTTCTCGTAGTACGCATCCACGTCGTTTCCGAACACCGAGACGAGCCTCATCCCGGTGATGACCACCCGCTTCTTGGGATCCGTCTCGCGACGGGGCGCGGCCTCGGCGACGGAGTCGCGGACGGAGCCGGCAGAGGGCGAGGCGGCGGCGTGCGGGAGGCGGAGGACATCCACCGTGGGGATGCGGAAGGTCTGCATCCCGGCCAAAGGCGGAACCCTAGAGGAAGGGGCGCTGCTGCTGCTGCATGGGAAGGGCAAGGCGCGCCGCCCTGCCAATTTCTTGTAATTCTTTCTTTTCCTTCCTCTCGTTTCATTCCCTTATTCCTCCTTCCCCGTCTCTGAATATTTATAATGGAGTCGAGAACTAATGAGACTATATATATTATCGATATTACTTTAATATTTCTTATTATGATGCAAATTGGTCTCGAAAATAAGCATACTATTAACTTCGGTTCATCATAGAATCGATCGAGTCAGCTTTCATATATTATCATTACATCATATGCTCGATATCTTACAAAAGAAGAAGAAGACAGGTCCAACTGCGTGATGCTTCTTCGTAGTTCGTGCTATGTCTCCATCGGTGATCGCCATGGGGCCACGCACAGGCGGGTACGACGAGGAGTCCGGTGGGTACGAAAACGACGATTCATTTTCTCTCGAGACGGGGGATCGTGGATTCCTTTGTCGCGGTTACTTTTGATGGCCATTTGTTTTCGAGGGCAGGGCTGCTAAGGTTTTGTCCTTTTACGGTATGGTAATAGTATGATTGATATCGATCTATCCATCGTTGACTTCATATAATATAAAATTAAACTAAGTATATAAAAAGAATATGAATTTCCTCTGGTTTATTTATATTGATATATGTACATCATTTCATATAAATATAATATTTTATCATATTTATAAATGATCTATTAATATATTTATTGATATAACTATGTATATCTAATACATCAAAGTCTCAAGTTATTGATAGTCTTGAGTTATATATAAATGATGTTGAGAAATACTAAGATAAAAAAAGTTAAAATTGTCATATCTAATAGGGGTGATAAATTTTATAATAAATATGATAGTCATATTAGAATCTTAGCTCTTTTATTAGATTCTTAAAAAAATTAGATATTTATATTCGGTATGTATTATCATATGTCACAATAGAATAATACTATTGAACGATAAAATCATACTCTTATAGACATAATTAGAAGTACAATGAATTATTTTTCTATGGTTGAGTCTTTATGGGGTAAAGCATTTTGGACAACTATAAATATTTTGAATAGAGTTCATATAAGTCAATTTCATTAACTCTATTTATGTTATGTACTAGTATTAAACTCAATTTGAGACAAGTATATATTTGAGGTTGTCCAAAGATAAAAGTCTTCAATCCACATGAAAAAATTGGATTCAAGAATTATTTTTTAGTATTTTTATTAATTATTTAAAAATTTTAAGGAATACATATTTTATTACCTTAATCGTAGTATGAGTAGTAGATATTGGTAACGTAAGATTCGTAAAAAATAATAAAATTAATAAAAATAAAAAATCTCAAAATATTAATTTTGATATAAACGAGATAGATGTTATCACTCCTTTATCATTTCTTAATTGACAGATTATTATTTTTTAAATCACTAAATAATAAAATAATATTAATAAACTCGTATATGATGTCATTACTAATAATCTTGTTGAACAACTACATGTAATAGTTTTGAAAAGATTTAAAAAGGAAAAGATGACCTACCATATCTATAAATATCATATTATGACATAGGAATCAAAGGACCTCTTATCATTTTCACAAGTCATTAAAAATAGTTATTTTGAAATGTGATATGATACAATAAAAAAAAAGTTAAAATCAATAGGCTAAAATAGTGTTAGAGAACTCATAAAATTACATGATAATTGTAAAAGACTCGGTTAAATGAGTTTTGACAAAAAAATATAATTTAAAAGGTAATATTGAATGATATAAAGTCATATTTATAGTCAAAGATTTCTATCATAAAGAAAGTATCAACTATAACGAGATATTTTCTTTAATTTAAAAAAAAACTTATTGAGAATCATTATGACATTAGTAGCTCGTTAGCATTTTGAGTTACATTAAATGAGTATGAAAATAACACTTTCTGAACGAGGATGTAGATGAATAAATCTATATAGAATAACTTAGAGGATTCGAAGAGAAAGAAAAAAAAAAGGTTTGTAAATGTATAAATCAATTTATAATATTAAATAAGTTTAAGTTTTATAATATCATTATTTAAAATTTTATGATATCATTATTTTTATTTTATTTAAAAAAAATATTGATCAATGTGTATTTTTTTTTGTTAGACTGATTATGTAAAATTATCCTATGTTATCGATTGAAATAAGCACATTTTAGTTTCAAAATCTTATTGTTTGTTTGTATTTTTCTTTGCTGTCTCTCCCCAATCAGAATGGTGCTAAAAATATTGTATTGTGTTGTGAGTACAGAAGTTGAAGTTACGTCCAATGTTTTTATTATTATCTCTATTTTATTATCATCGTTTGGATTGAATCAAGCTGGAACTATAATCGAATTGGCTTGATAAATCGTTGGTTTCAAACTGAATGTTGTGAATGATTCAATTTTGATTCTTGACTTTAAAAATATAATTTTGATTTCAAATGAGTTAAATATAATAAAATATAAAAAAATAAAACACAAATATAATTTATGTTATGGTTAAATCCTAAGTTTAAAACCAATTAACTTGGGTTTGATAGAGTCATTTAATTTGATTAAAAATGTTATAATTTTATTATTTTTATATAATTTTTTTTCAAGCCATTACACCCATTATAGTTAAAACCGTTATCAAAGTTACCATACAAGCTATAATTCATTGTATATGATGTGTAAATATTTTTGTTAATATTGGTGAACAGATACACCGTGGCTGATGATTCAGCATGGCTTAGTTCACGGGTCGATGTCGGGAGTCTTCGATCGTTTGAGTTGGTAGCCGAGGTCGGGAAGCTAGTTGGTGGCTGTTGTACGATAAATTGGTTGATGGCTCTTGGGATGCTGATCGATGCGTCAGGGGGAGGCAATCTCTTCGAGATGATCTTGCTTTGGGGATGATCGCTCTCCTGCACATAAGGCCCTGTCGGGTGGTTACTGATTGTGGCCCCTCGATAAGTAAGTCAGTGTGGGGTTCTGCTTTCTACTTTTTTTTTGTCTTCATCAGGCCAGATGCCAACCAGGGGCTTTTATACTACCGTACGAGAGTCGGTCGTATGCGGGTTTGACGTGGCGATCGATCCTCGAGGGGTAAGATGATACCTTTGTGCGGTCATCGTCCCGGGACGTGAGGAACAACACCATGCGGCATCGTCCCGGGCTTACCGGGACGGGACATACCTAGCGACGTCTTGATATGGTTGTTGGCTCGGCGTGTGGAGGTGCTTCTCTTGCTGACTTGGCTGTAGCGTTACGTGACATCGATTGTGATGTGACCTGGGCCGAAATATACCTTACCAGTTAAAATGATCGATGTTGCCTTCTCTAGTAAAGATATTTCCTGTTTTTGAGTGTAGGGCAAATGACTAATGACTATGATCTCTTTTTACCTCTGACGACTATGATCGGCTCGTAGTAAACGGAGAACAAATCGCCACTGCAACACATAAATAGTCACGTATGTCGTGGACTTTAGGCAATTGGGTCAACATCTGAATCAAAGTTGAGCTCCATCGTAACGGAAGGCTATTACGTACGAATACGCTCGAAGGGAGCGATGGCGCATGCATGCGTTTAAAAGCGACTGCGAGCCAACGGAACAGCTTTTACCTATTTGCCGAGATGGTTGAGTTCGCAGTAGCGAGGGATGCAATGCACCACGTGGAACCCATGCATGGCCTTACGCGGGTGGGGACGAACACGGGCAGTCTCACCACTCCCCACGCTCTCACTACGACACGTAGAACAATAGGTCTACTGTTGACTTTCCCCTTCATGTCCATTGCCGATTTACTCCGGGACCCAGGTGAAACCCAATTGTACGGCAGGTATGCGTTCAGGTAGGGTAAAGACTGGTTGGAGGAGAGGCGTTGTTTTTATTGACCACGCGTAAGCGTACATCGTTTCGCGGTTTTGACGCTCGGACACGCTTCACCACGCGCTTGGCCGCTACCTTATATCGGCGACGGCATTCCGAGTCGTGTCATCACCAGCGCCACCTGGGGATTTGCACGAACATACTGCAGGTCAGCTGAGGCTTGTCTGTCGGGAGCAGGAAGATGACGGAGCGCGAAGGCGGCGTGCCGGCGGCGGGGGAGAGGCGGTACAAAGGGGTGCGGCTGCGGAAATGGGGGCGGTGGGTGTCGGAGATCCGGCTGCCCAACAGCCGCAAGCGGATATGGCTCGGGTCATACGACTCACCCGAGAAGGCGGCCCGGGCCTTCGACGCCGCCACCGCGTGCCTCCGCGGCCGCCTCGCGCGGCTCAACTTCCCCGAGACGCCCCCGCCCCGGACGGCCCAGCGGCTCACACACCTGCAGATCCAGGCCGCCGCCGCCCGCCACGCGGCCTCCGCGTCCACGCCGCCGCAGCTGTGGCATCCCCGCGCCGCGAGCTCCCCGTCGGAGGATGCCTCGGACGGGTTCACGGCCGGGAGCGAGGACACGCTCGACTGGTCGTTCATGGACTCGCAGGAGGCGGCAGCGGCGCTGGCGGGAGCCGGAGAGTTCCCGGACTTGATGGACGACTTCATGTGTGACTTCTTCTCTCCGGTGCAGATGACGGCGCCACTGGCGGAAGTGGTGGAGGATCAGTGCCCCATAGATTTGGGTTCGAATTCTTTTCTGTGGAGCTTCTGAAAGAATATAAACAGCGACACAAAGAATCAACAACGGTTCATTAGATAACTGTATGTCTCACGGTTTGGTCACAGAAAGAGAAGGATGAGCTCGAAGAGTTGTTCTTCTTCTTCTTCTTCTCCGCTGGCGATGTTTCTGACGTCAGCTTGGAGATTTTAACTCCGCCATTTAATCTCTTCCTCAATAATAAATTCTCACTATATTCTTTCAAACAAGATGTACGTGAAAACAAGATAAAGATGCACAAGGAAGACCATATATAGCACAAGAACAACGATGGCCTGTGAGAGGCTTGTCTGCCGGCATGGTGTCGGTGCTGGTCGAGACATTTCTCCACGCGTGATATGATGGGAGGTCCGTGGCAAGTGGTCTTGGGAAAGTATGCATATTATATACGTTGCAGGTGGAGGCAAGTGTGCACATGTTTGACGTGAGGATTTCATGCAGCCATGGAAAGCAAGTACCCGTGAGCTCTGAGCTCATCCGTGACTTCAGCACCAACTTCCTTTGGTGGTGAAGGAAGAAGCGAGAAGAAAGAAAAGAGAGACTGAGAGAGAGAGAGAGAGAGAGAGAGAGGGGGGTGGAAGAGGGCGATAAAAGAAAAAGGGAAAGAAGGATGGAAGAAAGATTGGCAAGTTGATCGTAGATGCTTGTGAGGCAGAGAGGAAGTGATGGAATAAAATGGATATTATGTTGACTAAAAAGTCAACTGAAAAAAAGCCAATAAAATTATTAGGGAGAGAGAACTCGTAGATAAGAACTTGTTGAAGTTCCAGTGGAATGTCTTATGCTTTGAAGCCTCTTATTTGTAATTGTACGGTAAAATGATTATTGTAATCAATCAATTCAATACAATTTGAGGGTCATAACACTGTATTGGGTGTAGCCAACATTGACGTCGATGTACTCATTGCCGACATTAAAAGAAATTGATTTGGTTCCAACGCGGACAATCGACACGATTGTCAACGTGGACATGTACGTGTCAATCCAATTGTCATTCTCAATACTCACAAATGAATTGACCAAATGCATTGTGACCGTTTAAAATAAAATAAAATAATAATAATAATAATAATAATAATAATAATAATAATAATAATCAAACTCTCATTTTTGTCCATCTGAAAAAATAAAACAATCTACATTAAAAATTGTTTTGTTGCGTGAGACGAATTAAGTCACGACATCATGATTGTATGCTTTGAGGTACACTAAGATTCTCTCTCTCTCTCTCTCTCTCTCTCTCTCTCTTATTGTTTGATTTGGAATTATGTGATGGAGTCGTAATCAGGGAAATGATCTTCCTACATGTACGAGTGGGATATCAAACAAATTGACCGAAATATTCTTCTATTATCTATCTATAAAAAAATCACCTTCCTTCATGATATACATTAAATGACAAAATGATGGAGCCGTAGTGAGGTGGCTCACCTTTTTGGTGTTCCCTCGTTAAACACGTGCGTCCATTCCCCAAAAATATCTTCCGCGAAGCATCCATGCTCGCTTTGCCTTTACACTCTGATCAATCTTCATAAAGCTCCCAACACACATCTAATACATGAAGCGAACACATGATTTAGGTTAGGTTGATGAGTAACTTAGAATAATAAATAACACTCCTTATAAATATTCACAATAAACCTCTCCATGTTAAAGTTTATGTTCCACTTATCCGAAAAGTTTATGTCCGATAGATTCGAGAGTAAAAGGTTAAATTACTTTTGATTATTATTTTTATGTTACAGTATCTAGATGTGATGTGAGCATAAAAGAAGGTCAAATTATCTACAGTAGCATCACTTAGCCTTGTCTCATAATTAAATTAAATTAAAAGAATATCAAAGAATATTTTATTTTCTTTATATTTAATATTATTATTCTTTATTTTATATATTTACTAATTTAATCATAAGAAAAAAATGAGCATCAAAGAGATCTTGTGAAGATATTTAGAGTATTTAGAATGTTTGACCCAACTAAATGCTTTTGAACCCTAAGATGAAACTTCACCACGGTTGACTGGTCTCTTACAACCAATCCAACGAAGAGAGATACGAATCCTGCAGTCTAAGAACCAAAACAGGACACCCAAGTTAAGAAGGACAAAGAGAGAGAGAGAGAGAGAGAGAGAGAGAGAGATTCGAATCCGGCCGGCCACAAGTCCACCACGAATCCCGCGAGTCTCTGCCGAAGAACAGTGCGGGACGACTTCCTAGAAACCCCCTCTCTGTCTCTCTTGTTCGATCTCTTTCCGAGGAAGCTACAAGGAACCCTGCGACGGTGAATTAAGAAAAAGGAGCGGAGAAGCGCAGGAGGAAAACGTGACGAGCAAAGCTCGATGACGCTCTACTTTCCACGACTTAGAAAGTTAGGTCTCCACATGCAAGCAAGCAAGCTTGCCTTTGCAGTGAAGCGGCATCGGCTGCTGCTTACAAGATTTCCATGGCTCCATAGAGCTTGGTGGGCAAGGGAAGATGAGCAGGACCCATTATCCCTACCAAACTCTGCTTTCTTCATCGCATACTCATCGGACGGTTCTGTACATGATCATGCTTACTGATTTCAACATGAGATTCTCACATGGCCATTAGATATTGTCGGTTGCGAATACGTTTTGAAGTGCAAGAAAGAAAAGCTTGCATCTCTGAAGGGGGAGTTGTCACTAGCCAATTAATAGCTGCATGTGATCTCTGCAAGTACCTTTCCTGACCGTAATCTAACCAGACATCATCTTCTCATAATCTTTACGGTGAAGAAGAGGGAAGGAAAAGGCAACGGCAGTAAGAGAATGTCAAGAGGGTTGCATGTCTCCTTGAAGAAGAGATGGATATTATTTAAGCGTAAATATTGCTGCAGATTTCAATAGGTCTGAATGGCAAACAAGAGCATTCCCTGTCGAGGAAGCTCTTACAAAAATACAGGCTGCATCGATCAAGAAGAAACAACACTACCACCTCGCTTACTGGGATCATCCTCGCACTAAGAGGATGAAAATGGAGGCTAGCAAACATAGATAACAGATCTAGGAATGGATCACCGTAGTTAAAAGTTCTTGACATGGAAGTGGGAGAGCAGAGATGCTGGTCAGACGAGCTTCCCTTCACACTGATACATGTGCAGTTTGCTGGTCTCCGAACCGTGCTCTGCCTGCGGGACTTGTCGGCCTAAGTTGAGCCAGAACTGGCTGGACTCTGGCTTGGCCTCGTTGGTGGCCGCCGACGAGCCATGGACTTGATACGGCGCCTTGGTGTTGATTCTGAAACATGTTGTTAACAGAGACAAGAACGTGAGGTTTCAGCTGTGGTACTACATCATGGACACTCGAGATTGAAGTACGCACCGGTCCTTCCTCTTCTCGAGGAACCTATGGAGGGAGTTCTTCCTCGCTATGGGCATATCTGCAGTCCATCCGGAAGCAGCTGTTAGCATCGCCAGTCGTAATGAATTGGGCAGGAGATTGTCCACGGAAGAAGGATTAATTACCAGAAGCGGTGGCCTTGGCGAGGCTATCGGCCGGTGAGATGGGGTCAGGCTTGGGGGGGCAGTCGGCTCCGGCAGCGGCGGGGTGGGGGGTGGAGAAGCTGAAGTTTTGAGATGAGATGTTCTCTTTGCTCGCCATCCGCATCAGATCCTTGGCTTTCTCGGCCGGGAAGTCGTCGAAGACCAGCACCTTCCCCCCGTAAAAGATCGTCAGCTGGCCCTTCTCCGTCTGTCGCCTGAGACAGCAGTAAAAACATCTGGTTTAGCTTCTCCAGTTATCGGATGAGGCGATCCTCGGAGCAAGTTAGAAGACTTACTTAATCTCCGGGGTCTTGCCCGATTCCTCTTTGGGCAGAAGACCCGAGTCAAAGCCAGAGTTCCGGGGGAAGAGATCCATGGATTTGAGAGGGTTCTCGTCTTCGTTGTTCTGAGTTTGGTCATCTCCCGACACATCCGCCCCCGGCAACAGGCTCATGGTTGTGGGCGCCCGAGATTTACCTGAAACAAAGATCAACCAAATCTAAATCTCATGAAGGAACAAAAAAAAGCTATAGATCAGACATCAGGAAAATTCTATTTGGGGCTAATGAAAAGGAAGAAGAAATGAACTGTAGGGAAAAAGGAAAAATCTCACCTTTGGCTTGTTGATCAAGAGGCTTAGCGGCCGCCATCTCAAGGCCAAGGCCACCGAAGCCGTTCTTCTCCTTCAAGTACTGGCTCAAGAGCCTGCATGTGAGCGAGAAGTTGGACTTCTCCCCCTTGTTGTTTCCCATCTTCTGATCTGCCATCTTCCTCCTCCCCCTCCAACGTCGCTTCCTTTTCTTCTTCCTCTTCCTCCTCTCCCTTTCCTCGGGTCAATTTGAACATTTGTGCCTCCTCCCCACTCATCTCTAGGCTTTTGTTTTATAGTCTCTGTGCATCGGCATCGGCTGTAGGGTGAGAGCGAAAGGGAGTAACCAGCGAGGAACGGGTCAAGAATCACGTGCTCTTTTGGTTCAAGTGGAGGAAAGGAGGGAATGAGGGAGGCCGATGGAAAGAACACAGGAAGGAAGCGGAGGAAGAAAAAGAGGGCCTCCAAACAAACACGTGGTGTCTTTAGCAGACAAAAGTCCACCAAAATAAAACCAGCACACAGAAGATGAGCACATGACACAGACACACACCGCAGCGGCACGGCTCGATAAAGCGGGGAGATAGATGCTGCCACGGTGCGATTCCGGATGATGCCAACTCATGTGCACCATCCTTCACGCCCATCGCGCATCATCCATCATCGCCCGCATGCGTATGTACACACCTTCGTACATGCATGCGTAGTTTGGTTTCGCCATGCCATGTCATGTCATGCGGATCACGTTTAAAGTAATCGTGTCCTGATATCTTCTTTAAACTTCGTGCTTAGTGTAGTGCACATTCCTTCCATGGCCATCAAAATCGAGTCCGAGTCTCGGATCGACGGATCATTAGTTAGACCGGTGGGTCGATGATCAAATCACATGTCTAATATTATTCCAAAACTATAATTATGTATTGTATAAAATATAAGAATAATATGGTGAATGAGGATGACATGAGACACATTGAGCGAGAAAGTAGTATTTGCATACATCTATGAATTTAAATATATTCGATAATAAATAAAAATTGAGAGTTTTGAATTCTTGAAAGCACTGTCAGAAAGAGTTTAGAGTCCGAATTAATAACATAACCTTGTAAAAAACTTAGT